GGACAGATCTATTTCTTTAAAAGTTGCAAAATTTTGCTACATAATGTGTAAGCTTTGCCCACAAATGGTTCCTAGTAGTTATTGATGAAAGGGGTAATATTGTTGTCCGTTTTATTGTATCTATTTTTATTGGTCATTGGCCGAAATAAATATGATGATGATGATTAATGCAAACTTGTCCATCTTTTACAGTAGAAAGGTGAGGTACACATCTAATAAAAATAAATAAATAAATATTCAGAGAGTCAAAAATATTAAAATTATACTTATTTGTTAAATGTTAAGAAAATATTTGAGAGTGGTTGTGCCTAGACAGAAGGCCATCTATGAGTATTCCACTAATCTTAGTATTTACATCATTAAGAAAATGGAAGAACAATGTATATTCTGCCATAGCACTAAAGTCACAGAATGTAAGGATATAAGCAAAATGGGAGATATGGACCTAGGTTAAGTGAAGGAAAAGAGTTCTGGTGGTGTAACTATGAAGAGTTAAGCCAAGAACTATTCCCTTTTGTTCCAAACTTTGGAAAGATAAAACAGGAAGTTTTTTCTGAGCCAAAGTTACCACTATTTACCTATTTAACTCTCAAGCAGCAGATACAGTAAATATACATTGCCAGATGTTATCCACAAGGAAACCTATCCCAACACTTCCTTACAAAACTAAGTTTTCCAGTTGTTTAGTATTATGTTTTGTTTGATAAAGTGTAAGCAGCAAATATGCAATAATGATATAAACACCATACTTACCACTTTAGTATCTATAGCTAACTGAGCGAAACCTTTACGCTTATGCCATACAAGCTTGTATGAATTATCACTAAAAAGTGCTTCTCTCATTCCTCCTGGAGAAATTCCGAGTAGCTTGCCCTTCTTTAGAACATTTAAACACTCTTCCTTTCTATTTTGTATAATACCTGTCACACCAGTTAATGCTTTAATACCTGAAAAAGAGAAAGAAAGTGCAAGGTTACACAATAATATGCTGCTTGTAAACATCTATGAATTTATATTAATTCTTTACCTTAAGGTAATAGAGGGAATCAAAGCAGAATTTAAAAGTGTGTGGGCTGATTTGGGGTAAGATACTGTCTTCTATGTATAGGTGGTCACAGACTGATAATAAATAAAGGGGAAAGATACTTTCAGTCTTCATTTATTTTAATGTATATATGATATATGAAAATTTAACATATTTTCAATTAATTTTCTTTTTTAAAAGTTGCAGAACCTATTACGAAATGATACTTTGAAATTATTTTTAATAAAGGTAGGTCAATATGGAAATACTTTACCTATTTGGCCAAATAAAAGCATTTTCAAAATTTATACTGTACAGGAATTTATTGAGGTTAAGATGCTGAAAATCAATCTGTAGTACAAAAATCATGACCATCTGGATATTTGAAAAACAGACATGAAACGGACAATGGCACAGCATAATTTTATATAACTTTGTTAACCATCTTGCTAATGATGTACCCTGGAGAACCTGAAATTTGCATGGAATTGTGTGGTTTTTAAATTAGCCTAATAATTGATTTAATACAGATTATACAATAGCAATTCAACTCTACGCCAAAGCAAGATGAGATGCACTAAGTTTACACCACCTAATTCATAATTATGTGTTGATACCTAATTCATAATTATGAACAATTTTGTTTCTTGTTTGTGGAAAGGAGTAAGAGGAATTAAACTGTCCTGGTATTTTCTGGTGGGGCACAGATTAGAGTTGGGCCAGCATGGGATAGCAGTTAAGGTGCTGGTTAGGACCTGCCAGTCCACTCTCTGCCACAGAAGCTCCCTGGGTGACTTTGGGGTCACTAGGCTTGTTATTGTGAGAAATTCTGGCAAAAAGTGCACAATGAATGGGAGTCTGTGGCAGGGTTGAAACATACATGAGAATAGCATCCCATGAAGGTCACAACTTACATACTTGTATCAGATGTTTGGACACAAACATGGAATGGCAGCTCATGATGGCATTTGTGTGAGGACATCACCATGGAGGCAGATGCTGCTGGTGCTATGCATGCTGCCTTGAGCTCATGCAGGAGGGACATAAATCTTACAAAAATAATTAAAAATAATTTTCCTATTTAGATAAGAAATTACCTCACATTTAGGGGACTTCCGGTGAGCGCCATGGTGAGCTGATGTCCTGCTCACAGCAGGATTGCCTTTACAATGAAAATCATGACTGGATCCTGGATCTGGACTGGCGAAATCTCTCCAGAGGAAGGAGAGATCGTTGAGATAACCCATCTGACTTTGGACAGCCACTTCTCATGAGCAGACTGCAGGAACTGTGGCTCTGCAGTTGTCTTATGAGTTGAGTGGCTGGGAGTCAAGGGATACCATTAAGCTCATGCTCATAATGCAGCCTTTTGAGGACATAAAGACCAACCAAACCTCATTTCTTAATCATTTTTTGGATTATTTTTTTTTCATTGTTCTAGAAATATTAAGACCCTTCAGATCAGCAAGGTTTTACTGTATTCATCAGATGAGTTGCTTTCTCCTTGGAGATTTTAAAAACTCTGGAAAAATATTATTTTTTGGATTAAATAGCAAAAGGGTGCTTAGAATATGGATTTTGGAAAGTTAATAACAGATTAAGGGTCCAGACAGACTTGGAATTATAGTTTTGAATTAATTAGAATAATTGTTCTCATAGGAAATGGCAATTGTTTGGGTTCTTTTAAGAGGAAACATGATAATGGGACCTTGAAGGTTTGACACTAGAGGGAGCTAGAGGATAATACATTCATTTTATTAACAAGGAAATAAAGAATGGAGAAAAAAACCTTAATGGATGTGTTTGAATATTGGTCTTCAAAATTACTTGATTTGATAGACAGATCATGTGCCAATGAAGTTACAGAAGAACAAGCTACAACGGATAAGTTTTAAATTAATTTGAATGTGGACTTAAAATGTCAAGCAATGGGAAGGATATATACTGGATATACAAATGAAACCAAGGGATGTTTCATTGCCTAAAAGAGATGTACAGTACAATTATTGAATCAGAAAAGTGATTTGGATACCTTTTTCTTACTAGGTCTACAAAAGAGGTCTGTTAAAGTCTTGAAAGACTTTATGAGATTTTAAAAAAGGACAGACTTTACTTACTGGATGTACAAAAGAGGTCTGTAAAGTTTTGAAAGATTATTGGGTGAAAAAAAAAAAAGAAAAACAGAAAACAAGCTCTAGGACTATATTTGAAGAGGTTAAAAATTAAGATTATTGAAAATTCAGGTAAATAATACCGGGTTGGCTTATTTGATCAAGGTTAAAATAGAAAATTAGTTATATCTGGTTTCCCTTACTGGATTTTTACTGGGGGTGGTTAGCACCTTGAAGATGCTCCTGTATGTTAATATATTTTCTACCAGCAGCACCTTAGAAGATATCATTTATGTATATGGTTTTTATTGTATTTTTATACTATTTTTGTTGTATTTCAATTAATACTTATTTGTTGTTTTTATTCTAAACCACCCAGAGTCACTCCTCGTGAGATGGGCAGTGACCAAATTTGAAATATAAAAAAAATAAAATAAAATAAATAAATAAATTTTTGCTGGCAAAGAACGAATGACAAGGCTTTTGGGTTTTTATTTATTTATTTATTAGTTAAGAGATGAATTATGGGGTGAAGAGATTATATGTTGTATTAAGAGATGGTGATAAGCTATTAAAATTGTTTTTACTTGCTGTGATGAAAGGGGAAGTTACTTTTTTTCTTTTTCTTTTCTATACTTTTTTCCATTTTGGTATTTTCCTTTTATTTCTATATTTTTGTAGTTTGTATTATTTTTTTTTCTAGCTGTAATTTTTAATAAAATTATTTTTTAAAAAAGAAATTACCTCACATTTTACAGATAAGTGATTTATTAAGTGATTTCTTCCTTCATGCAGATCTGTGATGAAGAACATTCCTAGGTTTATTTACTAAAAGTATGTTTTCCTGAATTAAATCTAATTTACCTCCAAGAAAATGTATATAGTTTTGCATTCTGGAACACCTAATAAGAACCCTGTGCCTCAAATATTTAAGGCTAGGCATCAAAGCTGTCATTAATCCATGACAACTGGAAGCTGTACCTACATCTGGAATTACTAAAAATTGAACAAAGTAACAACTAGTGAGATAACATTTCAGTGTACAGTAATGATATGAGACAGGCTGGATCATGCCAAAGATTAATTTACCCGTGAACTGTATCATGCAATGTATAATAAGTTCCTGAAAGCCTGCAAAGAGAATATTCACTTCCATTTTTTCTGCCTAGCAATTTAAGGAATATCATCTTTGATTCAGGAGGCAGAACAGTCACCAAGACACCTATTCATTAATAACTAGGGATATGCGAAACAGAATAGCTGACTTTGAGTAGTTTGTATTTTAACTGCAACATATGTGTTTGGTAGTTATTCCAGGCAGATGTGAGGATTTGTGGTGGGGGGCAGGGGGGAGAAAGGTAGGAAAGGACCAAAATGCCAGCAGTGGATAAGGAGATGAAGGTAAAGAGGTTAGGGGAGGCACTGAGAAAGTGAGGGGGCCAGTGGCTGAGGGGAAGCAGAGGAGAGAAATAATAGAAAGTGCTAGAAGAGTAAGGAAGTGGGTAGAATGCACTATGCTTAAACACTGATAGAGGCAGATCTGAGGGGAGACAGGGGAGGGAAGAGTCAGATGGCATACAAGTTTAATAAATTACCATCACCATCATCATCTGTGCTGGGAGCTCCTGAAGGAAGCAGGGAAAGGAAGAGCAATGCACACTATCCCATAAAATTACACCAGGATCTCTAAGGGTTTATTCCAGGTTTTCTCTCTGCTAGAACCCTGGCACATCCACAGTGGTTCTGCAAAACTTCCAGAGCTGCAGTGTGTTTGGGCTTGTTTTGTGCATGCTCCTACTAATGACCCTATTCTTTATTACTCCATATTCTTTTCATGAGGAACCTATCCTGAGAATTGACTAGACTTGGCTTATGTCATACTTATGTCAGAGGCCTATACAGAATTGCCAGTTTGATGATAAAGATAAGAATGTGATTCAACAGAAGGAAACGTTATTTCCTATTCTTTTGTTTCGTTTAATACTTTAACACGCTTCTAAATCAGTAACACTACTAACAATTTCTAGCAAATGGAAAATGTTTTCCAAAATGAGTGTTGAGAATGTTTGATAGCTGCTGGCCACCAACACAGGAAACTGATCATATAAAAAGCTATACTTCAAACTTCCTAAAGTTTGGAAAAACAAATGGATGAAATATTTCACCATCACACATATTAATGTAACTTATAAACATCACCTGGAAATGTGAAAAGGTAGTCATCTGCTATTGAATAACAACACTTGCGCTTCTCAATAAATAATCTAGACAAAAAGTACACGTAGTCCATAGGAACTGCTCCATGATAATAAATAATTAGGCCTGGCCCATCTGGTATGTTTTCTGTGCCATGTAGCTCATAACCTGTTTGAAATGCAAGGTATAAACCAATTGTTATTCCATATTATACTATGTAAATCAATTAGGCAGTAATTAAGCTATCATGCATATTCTTACATGAATATTTCTACTGGAAATTATATTTTAGATATCCCTGAAATTCCCATGCACTGAAAGTGGCTGTCTATGGTGAAACATAGTATTTTGGATTAAGGATCTGTTCCCTGTGTAATTAAGGACTCCTTTCACTCATGGAGTCATAGCAAGTGGTAGCACCTAGCTAACCTTGACTGATGAAGGCAGAGTCAGACCTAGTTAGTACTTGAATGGGCAGCTATCAGAAAATTCCAGAGCTGTAGGCTGCTCTGGAAAAATTAAGCAAACAAACAAAATGCTGTCTCTGAAGACAGTAATACAACTTCCGTATTGTTGCCAAGAAAACTGCATGCACATGCCTAGAATAATTACAAGTTGAACTGAACTTGAGTTTTATCTCTTTAACTATTCAAAAAAATCCATCACTGAAACATCCCAGTGACTGAGCAAGAGAGGAAGCAATTTCTTTAATTACCTGGTCCCAAGTCTTTTTTGCCTCCCAAGGTCTATCTCAGCGTTTGGATCCACCCCACCCAAGAACATGGTACAGAATGTGATAGATTTTACAGGAGGGAAGAACCAGCAAATATGACTTTCTCACTTCTTTAATCAGAATACCCACAGCAGAATTCTGCTTATGGAATGCTTTCATTGGTAGGAGAAAAGAGTGGATTCCTGTGGTAGAGACAAACAGTTTGAGGAATGCTTGGCAGCAGGGAAAAGGCTATGCCATGATGCTTAAACTTTGAGCACCTGCAGATAACAAGCCTGTCACTCAAGCCTTCTGATTCCACAGTTGAAACTCAGCTGGTATTGACAAGGATGCTCCAATTTTTAGTTGTAAAGACAGCGCAAGATACTATCGAAGCAGATGTATTTATAAACCTGTAGCACTTACAGCGAACTGAACCAATAGATAATGAGCCCCTGCTCCTCCTGGCCAAAAGCAGAGCACTGAAAATAATCAGCCATTTGGTGTTGGTTAGTTAGTCAGTAACAAAAGTCTCTTCCCAATCCTTCAGTTTTGCACCAAAATGCAAATTCATTCTTCTATAAAAATGGCAAATGAAATTACGCTGCTGGCATTTTTGTGTTTCTGTTGGTGGCAAGTTTCACCTTCCAAGCATCTTATGATGCAATGAAGGCTATATTGTCTGTGTAGTCCTTCACCAAATCATAATATACAAACATATTGAGTTAGTAGAAGCTGAAAGGCAGAGCAAGACTGGAGTCCCCTCCAATGAACTTCTCCCACCAGGGCAACAAAATGCTTCAGCAACATTCAGTGTTGCTGAAGAATTCTCGAATAGCAAAAGGCCAGAACTAATTATAATGGTAGGCAAATAGCAACAGTGGTAGATGACTGACAGGAGACTTAACTCTATCTTGAACTGGCAGCAGACTCAACATTCACCATTAGCTTTGCAACTACCAGGAATTGAAATTTGACATCTGAAGGCTCAGTAATTGCCCAACCCTGTTCTACAGCTAACAGCAAAATCCAAAGGACCATGTAACCAATTCCCAAAATCTCACTTCTCCCATCTTACTTGCCCACAGGATAAACAGAGATAGATAGATAGATAGATAGATAGATAGATAGATAGATAGATAGATAGATAGATAGATAGATACACACACTCATTCATTCATTCATTCATTCATTCATTCATTCATTCATGGAAGCAAAGGCACATAAAGGAAAGTGAGGCAAATATTCAAGAAATAAGTAAAATGTGTTAAAGACTAACCTATATGAAATTATTTGGGAGAGCACTCTAGATGTTGGTCAATGTTCCCATTTTTACTGCTTTTGTGTTATGCATATTGGTAATCAGAGGACTTACATAGCTAACAATACTTTAAAAACAAATATTGTTTTAACTGTTGGTTGCATGCTGCCCAGAGTCTCATTCAGTGAGATGGGCAGCCATATAGATGTATTAAATAAATAAATAATCTATGGAACACTGACACAAAATGCTGTGAGTTAAAACATCCCTTATCTAAGTAAGTACAGTCCCATTGATGTGATCCAACAAATATAGATCATTCTGTAATAAGAGTCTAAGTTTCTCACTAATACACATTTGCTTACCATGCCAAAATCTTGCAAATCCATCCAACGTGGTTGATATAATTATCCGCACAGGGTCCCACATATTACTGCAATAATTTCCATTCAAGTTGTGAGTCCTTTGATACAGTAGGAGGAATAAAGCAGAAAGATACAAAAAGAATACGATGCTCAGAGGCATGGCAAATAATACAATAATAAGCAACAGTACTGAGTAAGCAATGATATGTAGAAGTTTGTTAAGAAGCCATTCTTCCAAAAGATATGCAAGGCATGTAGAGATCATAGTTGGCTATGAAGGTCAGCAGCATTTATTCACATTCTTTCCACAGCACTGCTGTGTCTTCATCCCCCAAAAAAATTCAAGTGTCCTGACAGAGACATCACAGAGATCTAAATATGCTAGCTCTGCAACAAACAAGATAATGCTGATAAAACACACCCAAATCTAAATCAGCCAATCCAAATGATATGCCCGGTTCAAGGTTATGCAGCACAAAATTAATTATTGGGGAAGGAAACATTCCTAATATGAGCAGAAGGCTGTGGAGCAAAACATGGAAAACAGTTTGCTAGTAGAAAAGAGATGAAGTCAGCTTGCATAATACATGTGTAAAATGTATATTTGGCTGTGTCCTAGAGCAGGATAAAATGTTTCCATCAAGAGAACCACAACCGCATTTAAACTGAATTGGTACCAGTGATAATTATATCACATAGTTTTATAAAATAATGTTTACAATATTAATAACATAATTTTCTTTTCCAGATACCATATATACACCACCCACGGATAAACCGACCCATGTATTTCATGGTATTTTGATTAAAAATTCAAGGGTCTTTATATGCAGTTGTACATGCAGAAAATACGGGTACTTTGAAAAAGTATTACTGTATATGCTCATGGATAAGCCGATCCATGGATAAGCCGAACCCAATTTTGGGGGTCTATTTTGGCACCTAAAATTCTCAGCTTATCTGCAAGTATATATGGTTATATGACTTTTATTAGGTATTAATGCATCATAGTCATTAGTTATAGCAAGTTGTAGATACAGAGGCAGCAAACTCCATTGTTCTTTTCTGCTGTGTTTCCAATTATTCTTTTGTGTGTGTGTGTGTTTTGTATTTCTGCCCTAATTTTTCTGCCTTGTTTGGCCCATTAGCATTTCAGCACAGAACAACAATCGAATCCAGCCTCTATCTCTTAACATCTATCCAAGAATCAAGGTGAAAACCATCACCAAGTGTTTTTAAGTAGATATACAGAGCTGTTTTACTAAGATAAAAAAAAACAACAGTGAAAGAGCCATGTCATTAATAATTATGTCTATTAATAATTAATAGCAGTTATAACTTCTGTTTATAACTACGTTTATTCTTAAATTAGAAAGTTGTACTTTACTGTTTTTTAAAATATTCAAAAAAATTATTCGCCTCATTCTAAAGCACATGTAGACAAAGATACTGAAAGCCTAAATCTTACTTCCAAATTTATTTTAAAATGAAGCAGGGCAGCCCTATATATTGCTCAGCAGTAAGTTTCAAATTTCATGAGTCTTATGCTCAGGCAAGTCTAGAACTGCAAGTGTAATCAAAAGAATATTTATGCATACTTATTTGTTCAATGAAGCTGATGCCCAGGCTTGATTAGCCAGAAGCAAAAAATCATCAACTTGCTCTTCATGCATTTTCCACTACACATTTTTTAATGGAAGATGAAGGTATCAAATATGAAATTGATACATACATTGATTAGATAGCTATTTGTTTAAAAGGACATTTTAGGTCAAAGTAACTGACATTTGCCTTTTTGAAGTCTTTGTGATCTCTCTGGAATTAATCTCTAAAACAGCTTGATCTTATTTTCTTAGAAGAAACTAAACATTGTTATTTCCATATTACAGACAATGCTTGTACCTATACGTTAGAGCTGAAAGAGTATCATGACTAAGACCACTCAAAATCATGATTCAAGATTTGAATGGAAATCTTGTCAATGTACAGATCATTCTCATAAGATACAACAGAATAGCACAGAATGGAGGTAATATTATTGCTTGCCCCTTTGCTGTAACTCTGTAATGCAAACTGGCATCTCAATTCTAGGCTGCCACACTGTGTCAGCTACTTTATTAATCTTCAGTGATCTTCTGCAAATTCATGATTATGTGATGGGCAGAAGATATTTCCATCAGCCAAAATGAATTGGTCTAGTTTGATACATCTGAGTGAGGGCAGTGAAGTGGTGCACTTCACTTAACATGGATTTCTCCAGTAATCAGTGCTGAAACAGCACTGATACACACAGCCATATTTAGGGGCAAGTAGGCTAGCTTATTCTCATAACCTAATAGTTTGTTGCATTCAATCCTGAAGCCAATGCTTTCTGGTAACACACTTCCTGTCTACCATTCTTCTTGGCTATGACTGGATGACCATTAGAGGGATGGATGACCATTAGAGGGCAGCCTTCTGTATCCCTTCGCTGCTGCCTAGGGTCTTCTTGATTTGTGGAGTCCTTGGGGTTCTCTGAGCTTGGTTGTTTTCTTGCAAACCTTTCGTTACCTGCTAGGTATCCTGAGGACTCCACAGTTCAACCCTGAGCTACATATATTCTTTTCTATAGGTACCACTTGATTTATGCAATTCAGATCTGGCAGCCCTTCTCTAGACAATTAGTATTCTCTGTTCACTTATTGACAAAGCAAAGCTTACCTGTTGCTAAATAGTATCCTATATTTCAGTATGCTTTTAATTAAATTAAAAGATCTGCATAACAAATCTTAAAAGAACTATATGCCACTGGATAAGTCAATGGCTTGTGGAAATCGTTTTAAACCATAGCTAATCTTACCTGCAAAACATCTCAGAAGGTAAAACCACCACACCCATTTAAAATTAAGAAGAATAACCAGGAACAAAAGCACCAGCATCAGGGCTGCAAAAATCCAGAGGACCACTAGAAAGAGGCAACGAGTTAGAGTTTTCGTAGCTCTTTCCTCCCCTCCATCGGTCGTACGGATTTCTGCAGCCCGGACGCATTAGCCCTAACCAGCACACGCTGTAGATTATGTACTTGAGAACACGAAAAACATTTCTTCTGCTCCTTAACGTGCTGCTGCAAAGTGGGTCAACGCAGTTAATCTCAAAGGAAATGAGCCATAAGGACTTCCTGACAATACCTATCAGCTGACATGCGCACGGTTCCACATCCCCAATATGGTGCCCTTCAGGTGTGTTGGGCGGCAGCTTCCAGGCTGGGCGTTCGGAGACCTGCCGTCCAACAGATGTGGAGGACCTGTTAAGAGGAGGAGGCTCCGTCCCACAGTGGCTCGTTAAACCAGTTCTGCCACCTTCGTCTTCACACCTAATTCGCCCGTTTCCTTTTCAAGCCTTGTTTATATCGTTCTCCAAAAATGCAAACCGAAAGCCTGTCCCAACCACGCAAACCCACGGAAGGCTCCCCACGCCACCGCTCCCGTGTTTCCTCGCCCCGGACTCGCCTGGACCGCTCGAACACGCTCGTCACCGCGGCTTCCTTCTCTTTCCACCGCTCGTCCCACAGCTGCCCCTGGTCAGTCTTACGCTCAGTTTGCACCGGAGAGGGGGGAAAAAAATACTCCAGCCACAACCAGGGCTCCAGGCAAAAAGAGCCTTAGCGAAAACGAGGACGACAGAAGCGGGGGAAAAACAAAAACGCGAGGCTCACAGGGTCTTTATACCTGAATCTTCCTCATCCAATCTGAAGGTTTGGGGTTTTTTTCAAAGAAAATAAAACACCCGCTAAACCCGCAGTTCCTTCGGATAGTAAATTTCCCTAACGTTTTCATGAATGAGTCGGGAATCCGTATAGGTTACGCTGGCCTCAGAAAGCTTCTCGCCACGCCGGTGCCAAGAGAAGAGCCAAAGGCGCTCTCCACGGAAAAGCAGAAAGAGTGAACCGGGATTCGGCCGGCTCGAGGCTGTCTACAGTATAGTGGCTATCAACGCGTTGCAAGTGAATAAATTCAGTCTTTAAGAATAGTAACTCTCGCGGTATTACTTTTATTTAGCTCTTAACACCCCAGAATCACCCGGATTAAGGCAGAATGGCTTGCAACGCCCATTTTCACAATCAGGGGGCTATCATGAAATAGAATTAGAGAGGAGATGCTGATACCGTAAAAACCAATTTGTTTTGCTTTGTTTTGTTTTAATGTGCCATCAAGTCGTTTTCGACTCCTAGCGACCATATATATAGATTTTCTCTATGACAATCTGTCCCTAACCTTTTCTTTCAAGCCTCCCAATGTGCCCTCATGGCCACTGTAACTGAATCCATCCACCTTGCTGCTGGTTGTCCTCTCCTCTTTCCTTCCACCTTTCCCAGCATGAGAGTATTTTCCAGAGAGCTGGGTCTTCTCATGATGTGCCTGAAGTGGGATAATTTGAGCCTGGTCATTTGTACCTCAGGTGAGAACTCTGAGTTGATTTGTTTGCTGATCCATCAGTTTGTTTTCTTGGCTGTCCATAGTATTCTCAGGAGTCTTCTGCAACACCAAAATTCAAAGATGTCAATACTCTTCCTACCCTGCTTCTTTAAATCCAACTTTCGCTTCCATAGAGTGTCACAGGAATACCATGGCTTGCACGCAAAAACCAAATCTTCAATTATCAGTATCTCTGGGAAAATCTACATTTTGGGAAATGGATCAGCCTGACCACTATCTAGCCAATCAAGTTAAGCAGCTTGCCAGAAATTGATAAAATAATATTGATAGTATCTGCTAAAGCTGCTCATTGGATTTGGAACAGGCACTTTGGAGTGTGAACACAATATCTTCTGTGACTCATGCAAACATCTGTATCTGTTTACCACATCAGGTGGCTGGAGCGGAAGCCTCCCTACAGCAGCCATACCATCCTGCAGAACAATGTGACTGCTTTAATGAATTGCAGATGTCTGCTGCACTCATGTTCTTATTCTTCTGAATTAAATCTTACAAGAAAATCTACAATAAAAAGCAGCACAATAATATCCTTGAAATGCAAAAACGATAGTCAGAAGGGATAAACATTCTTAAAAGACCTGCTGACAGGCTGCTCACAAATACTTAATAAAATGCAATTTTTTGCCTAGAACCTTTAGAGAGATATGCTTTCTGTTTTAGCAATACATTTTAGGACTTTTTGCTTTAAAGCCTTCTAATTCTATCTTATTGGTGAGTTTTGGTGATTTGACTGCGTGCTGGTCTGGGACCAGAATAAAGATTTGTTCTGATTTGATTTGACTATGAACTGGTGCTCTTGCCTTTCTATTTTGTGTGTTTGTGTTTTTTTTTAATTGTTGCATGCTGAATAAAAGTATAACACTGAAATAATATTTTAAAATAATGTATTTATTCATTTCTAACACAGACAATAAAAAACCTCTCCAAATTAGGACAGGAAGTAAATTCAGCAGCTTCCAGTAGTAAATTATTTCATCTTCATTTCCTCCATTTCTACCAGGTTATATCCAGGTTGTTGATACAGGTAGTCCTTATTTAGCAACTGCCTCAGACACCAGCCAATTGCACTTATGACGGTGATGAAAAAGTAAGAGGATTTGCAACCAATCCTCACATTTGCGACCGTGGCAGGTCTGTAAAGCAAAGGAAAGCTGAAGTAAGATCATAAGCACAATTTCACTTGGCAACCACTTTGCTTAATGACCGAGTTGCCAGTCCCAATTGGGGTCACTAAATGAGGACTACCTGTGTGTAGAAACCTCAGAGCTCTAGTTCTGTCTCTGTAGTAAGAAATTCCATTCTTTTCAAGGATGGATCTTAATCATTTCATGCTGTGCATTGTCATCATGAAACTAAGGATACATTCTCATTCTACTCTTAAGTAATGCCATTTATTTCAGTAGAGCTACCTGTTAAAATATACTGGGTTCTGTGAGTTTTGCACCATTCCAATATTGTAAGATATAAAGCAGAATAGACTCATTTTAAATTCAAGGAAATAATACTTTCTAATTTCTACCCAGTTAATTTTATAATATATATCAAGATTCAATCCATATTGTATTTACTTTTAAAATGAAAAGGTTGTTTTCAGCCTACCAAGAATGTGATAATGGGAGTTGATGAGAGAGGTTTCTATTCTTTTCTCTTTCTTTCTTTTTCTTTCTTTTTTCTTTTTCTTTGGTGTAATTCTCATTTTTAGAGGGGATTGTGTTTTGCCCAATTTGTGCTTGGGTGTACCTGTTCACTTTCTTCTGTTCTTATTCACACCATTTCCTAAGGGATTAACAACTGAATGTCCTATGGTTCCTAATTAGGAAACCACTAAAGACAGAGACTTTATTTCAGTAATTGACCAGTAAAAATACATTCTATAAAACAAAAAAACCAAAATTATCCCCTAGCACCAATAACTTGGCAACCATTTGTGGGCGAAGCTTACACATAATGTAGCAGAATTTTACTATTTTTAGAGAAATAAATTTATCTTGGTTGTTTAGCAGATAATGCCCCCCAAAAATAGATATATTTATTAGAATGTCCTGGAAATTTAAATAAAAGGGGGTTAATCAACTGGTGGTGAATGTTCCTGTAGAACTGACAGTACAAAAGAACACAGGGGCAATACTGAGTTTCATATGGGGTTTTGCTATATTTCCCTTCCCAAACAGCTGTGGGGAGGACATTAAATCAGGCTAGAGATAAGGCTCTCCTGAATTTGGGGACTGTAATATGATACAAATACAAAGCTGGTTTAGGTACTAAGATTTGATTATTAGCAATTATATTATTGGAAAATGCAGCAGTTTCTGTTTGGGCTTCTCTGTCTAAAATAGAGATAGAGTTTGCCTTAAGATTGATCTAGCTTGATCTGACTCTAAGGTTAAGATGGCATCACTGGAGAAACCATAGAGAC